ATGCACAATCATTACAAGCTTATCTTTCTTTTTCTATCTCTCTTACTCTGCTCAGGCTGCCATAAGAAAATACCATAGACGAGGTGGCTTAAACTGCACTTTGTTTCTAAAAGTCCGAGATGAGGGTGTTAGCATGGTTGGCGTCTAGTGAAAACTCTCCTCCTGACTGGTAGACAGTCTCCTTCGTGTCCTCACTTGGCAGGGAGAGAGAGAGAGAGAGAGAGAGAGAGAGAGAGAGAGAGAGAGAGAGAGAGCGAGCTCTCTGGTGTCCCTTCTTATAAGGGCACTAATCCCATTGTGAGGGCCCCACCCTCAGTACCCCATCTAATCCTAATTACCTCCAAAAGGCTTTATCTAATACTATAACACTGGGGGTTAGAGCTTCAACATATGAATGGAAGGGGCACAATTTAGTCCATAGCATTGGCTAACCCTTTCCCATCCTTCAGAGCTCTGATCTTCTGCTGATTCCTCTAGGAAGCCTTTCTAGATTCTCCAGAGGACTAAGGGATCAGCCACTGCCCTTTCAGATTGAAAGCACTTGGGACACATGTGGATCAGAGCATTTACTGTATTATGTTCAAACCTCTTGTTTATATCCTGCCTCCCCTGCAGGGTGAGGGCTATGTTGGATCCATTACAGCATCCCAGCTTCTGGCACACAGCAGGCTTTCAAAATGCTATTAGAACTCAACAACTGGCTGAGGAGATAACACCAATGAATAAATGCTAATACAGTCTGATCAGTGCAATGTTAGTAGCAGGTTCAAGGTACGGAGAGGAAGCACTATGAATTCCATCCTCTGGGAGGGGAATAATAATTTCTTGGGGCCTGTGACTCTTGAGCTGAGATTTGAAGGGTGTTTAAGAATTGGTCCACCACACTTTGGTGTGTGTGAAGGGGAGGGGAAATGGTGGTAGGGATGGGATAGTCATTTTAGTACTTGCATGGTACTGGAAGTATAAAGAGGGATATGTCCCAGTCCTTGTCTTTGGGGGGCACATTTTAATTAGGTAGATGGGAGTGAACTGAATCAGAAAGCGAAGCTGTCAGAGCTAAATGTGGAATTATTTGCTCTTTGCTAGTAAGTGAGCCAGCCAGCAATGCCACAATAGTTTACAACAGAGAAACAACTCTATCTGCAACATGATTAGTAAGAGGGCTTACCCCACCTTTTTCTCTGCCTGCATCAGAAGGCCTAGGAAGGCCTGGCCAGAGATAGGCACAGACCACAGAGAAGGGACAATTATGAAAGAGTAGTCTATGGCCAGGAAATGCTGCCTCATATTTTTTGACCATTGGGTGCCATCTGTTAGTAGTACTTTACTCATAAAATATTGGTGGTAAATCATCCCTGTCAACCATTGTTGTAACAAAGCTTGTTATTTGAAGCACATCACCCATATGGTCTCACGTAATCCAGAGAACAACTGTATGAGGTAGGCACTGCCTAGAGAAAATTCTCATTTTCCATCTGAGGAAAATGAAGCTCAGCTAAGGTTAAGGTCATCTGAAAGACCTCAGCTTTCAGGTCTCTGTGATTTTTTTGGAGGGGTCCATTTACCACTTAGTCTCAAGCAATCTCCCTCCGGGCTTTTGTAGCAGCCTGTCCCTGTGCTTGCATTCAGTTTCCTGTTGCTGTGTAACAGATTGCCACAAACTTGCTGAAGGCCACATACACTTATCTCTTCGCTTCTGTGGGTCAGAACCATTTGCCAACAGAGGCTGGTTGCAAGTGTGTGCTCAGTAAGAATGCTGAGTGAGTGACGGCTTGTTCAGGATCATACTGCTGGTCACCAGGTAGGTTACCAGCAGGGTCTCTAACTTTTCCCTACAGTCATTCCAGCCCATGAGATGAAAGGAAAAAGACAAACACCGTGTAAGAAAGAACCATTGTGCAGCTTGGTGAAAACCGCTGGAGACTGTTCTTAACCAAGATTGTTAAGATAAAATGTGAATTACTTGGTAGAATTGACTTTGATGTCCACCAGTTGATGTGATGCATTTTATTCGGCTTTATTTTCTATTTGTCGCTGTCATAATTGAAAGAGTCAAACATTTATTTCTAGGATTTGAAAAAAATTGAGGGAAAAGTCTATTGTTTTTATCATCACATAAACTTTTAGCCTTGGAAGCTATGAAAGCTAGGGTTTCATAAAGAAAATACCTATTATGGTATAGTGGAAAATATCAGAGGGAGTAACATTTGAACACTAGTTCCAACTGTAGCTCTGTGACCTTAGGGAAATTTCTGAACCTCTCTGGATGCTAGTGTTCTCACCTTAAAATGCTTCCTATAAGGCAGGGTGGTGATAGTTTTTAAGAGAGATTTTGTGTGTGAAGCTGCTGATGTTTTCTAGGCTGTCCAAAAAAAAAAAAGGTAGTTACTTTCCTTTCTCATTGTAGACTATGAAGGAGTAAAATAACTTCAAAATAATGAGCAAATGAGTTACAGCAGGAGCTGTAACTACCACTTCCCAGTCCCGGGTTAAAGAGAAATATGCTCTGGAACTCTGGCTTCGTGGTGAGGAGGAAGGGACAGCCTGAGAAATACCTGCTCTCCATACACCGGACGCTGCGTCTGCCTTTGCGTTTCCAGGGAGGCTCGAGCAGCTCAGCCCCGTTCTTGTTCTGTTATTCACCGAGGGATTCCGTAAACAAGCGGGGAGGGCGCTCGTACGCAGGAACCATCAGCTCGCAGTAGACTGAAAGAGGGTGCTGCAGCTCCCCATTCCTTCCCTACCAAACAGCTGGGAGCAGAGCGCCCATGAGGCAGGATGAAGTTTGAAACGAGCTGTATTTTGCCGTCCCTGTTTTCCCTCCCTGTTTTGAGAAGGAAATCGAGACTTCAGCTTCCTTTGCTTTCAGGGAAATATGTTCTGAAGTTGATTGAAGGGAGCACGCTATCTTGGGTTTGGGTTTAGTTTTGGGTGGTCTCCCTAGGAATGAGAGAAGTGAGTGCCTTTGGGAGCAGGGAGGCCAAATCCCCAAGAGCAGAGTTGGAATAGACCCAGAGGGGCAGGGTTGGTGCTTCTGTAAGAAGTGAGGACCCGTATCCTGTGCCTCTGTAGTACCTGGGGCAGGAGGGGACAGGGCCATGATCACAGCCTCCTTCCTCTGGGGTCCTGTCCCCACCTGCCCCACAAAGGCTAGAATTTAGGTTGCAGAGCTTCCAGGCCCAGCCAAGGCTCTCACATCCAAGCCCAGCACGAGAAGCAGATGCTCTTTGGTGCTCTGCCCACATCTCCAGGTCCCGCCCCTTCCATGTGTTCCTGACTTGTAACTGCTAGTGTGTGCATCTCTTTGCAATGGGTATTTCTCCAGAGTCTTGGAGGTCGGCTCTGTTCTCCATCAGAGTACGTCAAAAGGGCCAGGGGACTGACACCACTGGAAGCAGCTGTCTTCCGAAGACTTTTGGAATCCAAAGTATAAATGTCCTAGTTCCCTGGCCCCTCGGATAGGATAACTCTGAGGAGTGTATTTCAAATGTTTCTCATAAATTCCTCATGGGAATAAGCTCTAGTTGCCCGATCATTTAATTGCTGTCTTTTCCTTCCCTGCCTCACTTCTTGCCTTCTATGTCTGTGGTACCTGTACCTCCAAAAAAAACTACCTGCTCTCAATTCCTTATTTTAGAGTCTGCTTCTGGAGAAGCCAAAATAAAGCATCAAGGAAGCAAGGGAGGGCCCCTCTCCTCACAGAACCATGACAAGGACATGGGACACATCAGTAATGGCCAGTGTAGACCAAAGACTTGGAGGAGTCTTCCAGAATTTTCTCTTGTGAGCTAGAGCTCTGCACCTTCCCATATCTCAGGGGTGGGGGGAGTGTAATAGAGGGAGTAAGTTTTCCACCTAAGGGGTCTCAGGAAATACTCAAAAGATTGAGATGACTGAGTGTTTTGCCTAAACACGCCCTTCTTGCTTATCTCCATCTTTCATTGTCTTTGAGCTATTTTACAACTCTGTAAGTTGTAGAAAACTGATGCTAATGAAAGGATTATTAACTAATACAGTCTGATCAGTGCAATGTTAGTAGCAGGTTCAAGGTACGGAGAGGAAGCACTATGAATTCCATCCTCTGGGAGGGGAATAATAATTTCTTGGGGCCTGTGACTCTTGAGCTGAGATTTGAAGGGTGTTTAAGAATTGGTCCACCACACTTTGGTGTGTGTGAAGGGGAGGGGAAATGGTGGTAGGGATGGGATAGTCATTTTAGTACTTGCATGGTACTGGAAGTATAAAGAGGGATATGTCCCAGTCCTTGTCTTTGGGGGGCACATTTTAATTAGGTAGATGGGAGTGAACTGAATCAGAAAGCGAAGCTGTCAGAGCTAAATGTGGAATTATTTGCTCTTTGCTAGTAAGAGAGCCAGCCAGCAATGCCACAATAGTTTACAACAGAGAAACAACTCTATCTGCAACATGATTAGTAAGAGGGCTTACCCCACCTTTTTCTCTGCCTGCATCAGAAGGCCTAGGAAGGCCTGGCCAGAGACAGGCACAGACCACAGAGAAGGGACAATTATGAAAGAGCAGAGTCTATGGCCAGGAAATGCTGCCTCATATTTTTTGACCATTGGGTGCCATTTGTTAGTAGTACTTTACTCATAAAATATTGGTGCTAAATCATCCCTGTCAACCATTGTTGTAACAAAGCTTGTTATTTGAAGCACATCACCCATATGGTCTCACGTAATCCAGAGAACAACTGTATGAGGTAGGCACTGCCTAGAGAAAATTCTCATTTTCCGTCTGAGGAAAATGAAGCTCAGCTAAGGTTAAGGTCATCTGAAAGACCTCAGCTTTCAGGTCTCTGTGATTTTTTTGGAGGGGTCCATTTACCACTTAGTCTCAAGCAATCTCCCTCCGGGCTTTTGTAGCAGCCTGTCCCTGTGCTTGCATTCAGTTTCCTGTTGCTGTGTAACAGATTGCCACAAACTTGCTGAAGGCCACATACACTTATCTCTTCGCTTCTGTGGGTCAGAACCATTTGCCAACAGAGGCTGGTTGCAAGTGAGTGCTCAGTAAGAATGCTGAGTGAGTGATGGCTTGTTCAGGATCGTACTGCTGCTGATCACCAGGTAGGTTACCAGCAGGGTCTCTAACTTTTCCCTACAGTCATTCCAGCCCATGAGATGAAAGGAAAAAGACGAAACACCGTGTAAGAAAGAACCATTGTGCAGCTTGGTGAAAACCACTGGAGACTGTTCTTAACCAAGATTGTTAAGATAAAATGTGAATTACTTGGTAGAATTGACTTTGATGTCCACCAGTTGATGTGATGCATTTTATTCGGCTTTATTTTCTATTTGTCGCTGTCATAATTGAAAGAGTCAAACATTTATTTCTAGGATTTGAAAAAAATTGAGGGAAAAGTCTATTGTTTTTATCATCACATAAACTTTTAGCCTTGGAAGCTATGAAAGCTAGGGTTTCATAAAGAAAATACCTATTATGGTATAGTGGAAAATATCAGAGGGAGTAACATTTGAACACTAGTTCCAACTGTAGCTCTGTGACCTTAGGGAAATTTCTGAACCTCTCTGGATGCTAGTGTTCTCACCTTAAAATGCTTCCTATAAGGCAGGGTGGTGATAGTTTTTAAGAGAGATTTTGCGTGTGAAGCTGCTGATGTTTTCTAGGCTGTCCAAAAAAAAAAAAAAGGTAGTTACTTTCCTTTCTCATTGTAGACTATGAAGGAGTAAAATAACTTCAAAATAATGAGCAAATGAGTTACAGCAGGAGCTGTAACTACCACTTCCCAGTCCCGGGTTAAAGAGAAATATGCTCTGGAACTCTGGCTTCGTGGTGAGGAGGAAGGGACAGCCTGAGAAATACCTGCTCTCCATACACCGGACGCTGCGTCTGCCTTTGCGTTTCCAGGGAGGCTCGAGCAGCTCAGCCCCGTTCTTGTTCTGTTATTCACCGAGGGATTCCGTAAACAAGCGGGGAGGGCGCTCGTACGCAGGAACCATCAGCTCGCAGTAGACTGAAAGAGGGTGCTGCAGCTCCCCATTCCTTCCCTACCAAACAGCTGGGAGCAGAGCGCCCATGAGGCAGGATGAAGTTTGAAACGAGCTGTATTTTGCCGTCCCTGTTTTCCCTCCCTGTTTTGAGAAGGAAATCGAGACTTCAGCTTCCTTTGCTTTCAGGGAAATATGTTCTGAAGTTGATCGAAGGGAGCACGCTATCTTGGGTTTGGGTTTAGTTTTGGGTGGTCTCCCTAGGAATGAGAGAAGTGAGTGCCTTTGGGAGCAGGGAGGCCAAATCCCCAAGAGCAGAGTTGGAATAGACCCAGAGGGGCAGGGTTGGTGCTTCTGTAAGAAGTGAGGACCCGTATCCTGTGCCTCTGTAGTACCTGGGGCAGGAGGGGACAGGGCCATGATCACAGCCTCCTTCCTCTGGGGTCCTGTCCCCACCTGCCCCACAAAGGCTAGGATTTAGGTCGCAGAGCTTCCAGGCCCAGCCAAGGCTCTCACATCCAAGCCCAGCACGAGAAGCAGATGCTCCTTGGTGCTCTGCCCACATCTCCAGGTCCCGCCCCTTCCATGTGTTCCTGACTTGTAACTGCTAGTGTGTGCATCTCTTTGCAATGGGTATTTCTCCAGAGTCTTGGAGGTAGGCTCTGTTCTCCATCAGAGTACGTCAAAAGTGCCAGGGGACTGACACCACTGGAAGCAGCTGTCTTCCGAAGACTTTTGGAATCCAAAGTATAAATGTCCTAGTTCCCTGGCCCCTTAGATAGGATAACTCTGAGGAGTGTATTTCAAATGTTTCTCATAAATTCCTCATGGGAATAAGCTCTAGTTGCCCGATCATTTAATTGCTGGCTTTTCCTTCCCTGCCTCACTTCTTGCCTCCTATGTCCGTGGTACCTGTACCTCCAAAAAAAACTACCTGCTCTCAATTCCTTATTTTAGAGTCTGCTTCTGGAGAAGTCAAAATAAAGCATCAAGGAAGCAAGGGAGGGCCCCTCTCCTCACAGAACCATGACAAGGACATGGGACACATCAGTAATGGCCAGTGTAGACCAAAGACTTGGAGGAGTCTTCCAGAATTTTCTCTTGTGAGCTAGAGCTCTGCACCTTCCCATATCTCAGGGGTGGGGGGAGTGTAATAGAGGGAGTAAGTTTTTCACCTAAGGGGTCTCAGGAAATACTCAAAAGATTGAGATGACTGAGTGTTTTGCCTAAACACGCCCTTCTTGCTTATCTCCATCTTTCATTGTCTTTGAGCTATTTTACAACTCTGTAAGTTGTAGAAAACTGATGCTAATGAAAGGATTATTATCTATGGAAATGAAAATCAGTTATGCCTGGTGGGATGCACTTGATTATTGCTGTATGGACAGATCCATTTTGTAGCCATTTGCAATTGACTTTGGTATTCCTTACCTGTCTCAGTAGGTGTGGTTCCCTGAACTCCTATTTAAACTGGTTCGAACACCTTGCAGGTTCTCTCATTATATAAAAACTTCCACACATGTTCAGTTTAAGTTTGCATGAAAGTCATGATTATACCTTTGAAATTTTTTTATCCTTTAGCATAACAAAGATTAAATTCTCTCCAGCTTGTGTGCAATGAGGGCAGAGTCAGATCTGAAGGGATCCATAGGAGGAGATCAGTAATACTGATGGTCGCCAAAGGGAAACTGGGTGAATGGGGGCTGAGATGGAAAGGGAAATGTTTATTCCTTTTTGAATTTGAATGGTTATCTATTCAATTATCAAGAAAAAGCTAAAGCATTAAAATTTAATGAAAAGTAAATACAAAAATTAAATAAATACAAACCCACCAAAGCTTAAAAATAAATGTAGTATTCTAGTGGCCCCTCTGGGTCATGACTTTGGAGTAAAGAGAGAGTGGACAAGTTTCTAATTATTTTGGCTATTAGGATTTCTTCTGTGGAAACCTCTTGGAAGTATTACAAGCGTCGACAGAGAGATATTACTAGGTGTGGTTTGGACAAGGATAATCTTTCCAGCTGTATACATGTGTAGCAGATAGGAATGCTCCACAAATTCAGGTGTGCCAAATAGTTATTTTAGGTTTTCTAAATAATTTCCCCCATGTTATAACTTTAAAAAGCTCATTTTTCTAAGAGGAAACATATTAAGATGGTACAAAATCCAAAAGGTGTACATGTTATTAAATGTAAAGGCATGTATTCAAGTAGATGCCAATTTTTTTTTTCAAAAACTCATGCAATTTTGTTTGATTCACAGTGCAACTGCTATTTTAGAATAAATGTAATATTAATCTCCTCACATATTAGAAAAAAAGGATGCTCTGGGAGGTCGATTGGGTGTCCCTGGCACAGACAAGACAGACACCTGGCACGGAGCAACACAATTCAGGAGGTGCTGCCTCCCACCCCTGACCCCCTTTTGATAAGCATGGCGGTCCTCTTTGTTGAGTGCTTATTATTTTACCTTGGTAAGTAACCAAGTGAATTAGTGAAAGTCATGCAGGCTTTGTTAGCTGATTGGAAAGGAAAAAGAAGTTGTTTTAATTTTATTGCAGTTTAAACAATTAACAATAAATCTTTTTTGGTCAAGGTTTAATAGTTGGATAACTTATTCAGTAGTAGGTTTACTTCCACATTCTGATAATAAAAACAAATCTAATTCTAAGTTCAACTAATTACTTGTCGAATGCTTTAGAAATGTAATGTGTTCACATAAATGCTTAACAAGTATAATGTGGTGTTGTTTTTAGTTTTGTTTTCTTACGGATAAGGATTCCAATTTTCCTTTTGACTAACTGGGTAAAATAAAGTAAGAATACTGATTTTTATTATAGGATGTTAACTACCTGACGAAATGGCATGATACTTAATCTAAATTAGTGCATATAGGTTAGATATTTCCCAATTCTTATTGATGTGTAAAGGCAATCAAAGTGTTTACCAGATTCTGGGGCTTGAGTTTTAATCTAGAATACTCATAATTCACCTTGACTTCTAAATTTTATCCAAAGAGCTTCACCTTAAATTATGTAGTTCTCTTTAACTGCATCTTACAGTTCTTTACTCCAGATTATGACATCTCTTGTGTTTTTGAAAAATAATTTATTCATTGAAACAGATAACTAAAATTGTTCCTTCAGTCAGTTAGAGCTACATACATACATACACACGTTTATTTAGTTTAAGACTCTGTATAAGTAGTCACAGTTTCAGAAATTCTAACAAACCCAAGTATTGAAGTCCCTCTATTTCTCTGTACAAATGGGGTATCCGTAGCTGCCTCATAGGTTAATTGAGAGAAGAAATGACATATCTATGAAATATGTTTAGAATACTGCCTGGCACAAAATAAATGCTCCATGTATGTGATTATAATTATTGCTGTCATCAGTGATAGTAGCATTATTTTATATGTACTGGCAAAGGGTCAGGATGATGGAAGATTTCTAGAAGAGGGTGATATTTAAGCTGATTTCTGAATCTGGAAAAAGAAGAAAGAGCAAGTGAAGTTGAGGGGAAGCACCAAAGGGCAGAAGTGGCAGCGGGTGCCGATGAACCTGTGGGAAAACGTGGGGGAGGTGAGAGTGGGCTAAGCTAACGCATTTGGAATTTATCCTATAAAGCAAGCCATTAAAGGACTCTAAACAATAAATGAGATAATCAGATACTTATTGGTATTTATCCTAAGGAAATAATAAAGCAGGTGCCCAAAGATGTATGTTTAAAAATGCTTCTATCAAAAATTTGGAACCTAAATGTTCAGCAATAATTAATTAGTTTACACAAAAGTTATGATGATGTTTACATACTTTAATGTATTAACATGAAAAGTTGTGTATATATTGTTGAGTAACAAACAGGTTTCAAAATAGTTATGGGTTTGTAAAAATAATACATGTATATATGTGTTCGTATGCTGGGAAAGGTCTGGAAGGTCATATACATGAAAATATTAACAGTAGTTTGCTCTTCATTTTGGAATTATGGGTGATTTGAAAGTTAAATAATTTTAATTTTTCTTATCTATTTTTCCCAGTCATTTTATAATGCATATGAATTAGTGGTTTGATTGAAATAACAACAAGGAAGGAAGGTGGTTATATTCTGTTGTAC